CATTCATATTCATCCATTCCACATTCTATGATACTTTTTGTTATTCTTAGAAGTCGTTTACTAACTTTTTTAAATAATTTTCATATTAATATTCAGTAGCATTCATTGATTATTTATCAGTTATTAGCATTTTTTTATCAATTGATAAGAAATATTTTTGCCATACACAAATATATATATAAGTTTTTTTTATTTAAAAATTTTAATTACAGAGAGATATTTTAATAACTGATAGAGTTATTAATGCTATCTTGTGATTACTGATATAATTTTAATGCTTTAAGAATAATTCAATCATTATTGATATTACTACTGAAATGTTACTGAAAAATTAAATTGAAACTGTGTAACATGTCGTAACAGTAATAATAATAATAATAATAATAATAATAATAATAATATAAATAATAATAATAATAATAATAATAATAATAATAATAATAATAATAATAAACAAATAAATAATAATAATGGTAATAAACAATAATAATAGTAAAAAATAAATAATAAAAAATGATAATAATAATGATAATGGTAATAACGAAAGTAGCGACAGTAATAATAATATTAATATCATTAATAACAATATTATTAATAATATAATATTAATAATTACTAATGTAGTATTATCGATAATATATTGTTAATAAAATAATGTAATGTAATATATTAATGTAATATTATTATGGTTGTTATTATTAAAATAATGTAATATTATTATGATTATTATTATCATTATTATTATCATTATTGCATGATACTGATAACAAAACTACTTGTAAGCGTTTGAGATTATCATCGATCTAATATTTTCCTCACACTAAGAATTTAATCGATGTTTATCGCACCTTTCTGTTTAACTGACCCACAATAACGTAAACATTGACCAATTCAACCTTAGAGGTCAGTAGCCCAATGCAAATATATGAAAGATAAATTGTAGAAAATTTCGTCGTTTACTTTTATCCTTTTTTCATTCACAAATTCATTCGTAAATTATAAATGCATAAGAATAATTGTAATAATCAATGAAACATAATTCTGTTTGATTGAAAATATCATCCAACTTTCTTATCACAATTAAATTAACTTTAATCAATTGGCTTAATCACTTTTTTTCCAATTAAACAAAAGCTTAAATGTCACCAAAAAGCTCAGAAATTATCAAAAATAAAGAAGGAAAAACAATTAAGACTAATTTTTAATTAGCATTCTATTGTTTTCTAATTTTCGTTCATATAATAAACAAAAATTTGATTTTACTAAAAATAAGAGAAAGTATCAATAAATAGTATAATTGGTATTAAATATATTTCTAAATTCAATCAAAGCAAAACATTAAGTAAAGTAATAATTAACATCATCAAGACATATTAGTCAATAATTAATAAATAAAAAAATGTTTGAATAGAAATTTTTTTTCATAAATTTTTGAACAGTGCTATCTTTTTCTCTTATTTCAAAATTTTTTCTTCTTAAAATTTATTTTCTTATTAGTTTGTGGTATCATTCTTTTCCCTTTTTCTTGAAGCTTAAAAATCTATGAAATGTCAAGTTGCTAACATTTTATGCAAATTAGAATGGCTCTTCATTAGTGTTTAGCTATAAGAGTAAAATATACCACTAATGACAACTAAAGTGGATTATCGTTGTAACGTTCTAAGGATGAAGCAATTGCTGTTGATAGTTTCTTATTCCATGTTGAAAAGCATACTGACTGACTGACCAATGACCAGTGAGTGACCAGTGGGCTAGTTTGTTGTGATGGACAAATTTGGTTGAATTCATTCAAGGACAAATCAATTCTTCTCATCTAATCGTTCATTAGTAACACTCTTTTTGCTAACTTTTCCATTACATTTCACTTTTATAGAATTGAAATTTAAAATAATTCATAATATGACAATGATCAATGCTATTAATGTTTGATTAATGATTGAAAATATATTTGACATTTGTAAAATACTCAATTTTATGAGTGAATGAATAAATAAAAATAAGTAAACAAATACTAATCATAAATGATGCAATTAAAATCACAATAACTTGTTTTTTTGATTCTGTTTATTATACAAATAAATTTTATTTTTATTTTTTAATGTTTCATAAAAAAGTTAAAAGTTAAAAACCATTGGAATTTCACAAGCCTTTATCTAAATGCATTCTGAATTGCACTGCTTTATTTCTTATTCCCTTCTCGAGATCGTCAAAATCGAGAATTGAACATTTCAGTATTTTTTAAAATTTATCACTTATATTAAAAACTTTCATTTAGGTTAATTAATTAGATGTCTGTATTTTAAATATAATTTTTTTTTTTAAATTATACTTTAATTAGCACTACTTTTTCATGCTGCAAGTCATGCAACCAAAATATGCTAATTGCTAATTACCGTTACTCATGTTAATTGCTAATTATAGCAAATACATAAAATGAATAAATAAGCATAAATAAATGTTTAAATTTTTGAACTCCCTTTATTGCATAAATTTAGAAGAGTATTTAACAAGTTAATTAATAATAATTAATCATTTGCTAGTTTATAATTTATTTGCAATAAATTATAAACTGTCAGATGAATAATTTCTAATTTTACAATTTTAACAACAAACATTACAACATCACAACAACCTGTTGCAAGCAAATTTTTTTTTTTTTTTGTCCTCGTAAAATTTTTAAGTTACATTTTTTGTTTTTCTCTACAAAATGATGCAATTAGATGTCCTTTTGAATATTTTAAATTAGCAAATAATTTTAAAGTTTTTTTTAATTTCTGTTTTCTTTTCTTTTCTCTTGCATACATTGATAAGTTCAAATTTTTACTCAATTAATTGATATACATTGAAATGATTGAAATTATTGAACTTTTTAAGTTATATCATTTCTAAGTTAATATTTAATAATCTTTTTTGAAAACATTCTATAATATATATGATATAGACAGGAACAAATTTTTCCACTTCAATAAAGTAATAATTAATTATCAAAAAATTGTTTTAATTATGCAAACTTTTTATACTATCATATCAAACATTCATTTTTTTTTTTTTTTTTTTTTTAATTTAATAATACAAAAACCTAAAAATTAAATAATTATCAAATTTTTTGTTTTTGAAATAAGTAATCGAATTGAAAATTAGATAATCTATTTTCAACGTAAATTAGAGCATTTGTTTAAAATATGTGGCATATTCGATTCTTTAGCTAATGGTTGTAATTAAATAATATCATCACTGATTAATTGCCTCCTATTGCCTTTTACTAATAAACAAATTTTAATGGTATGTCTAAACAAGCTAAACATAAATATATATACTTTTGGCTTATATATCACACTCTTCTTAAATATTATATTTTCTTTTAAAATTAAATAAATTTAAAAATGATCATTCATTTTGATAGAGTTTAGTTTAAATTAACAATTCTGCATAAAGTGCCATTTGCTCTATGTTAATTCTTCTAATATATCTTTTCAAAATTTATTATCAATCAATTTATCATTTTGTTTTGACTTTTCTTTCTTTTTTTTTACAATTAATTTTTTTTTTATTAATTGCAAACAGATTTTAAGGTTGACAATTTTTCATTTTTTTTATGAAATATTGTTAACATTTATATATTTTTTTTTAATGAAACACTAAATTTAACTGTCAAATAAACTTTTTAATAGAAAGTATTATTAGAGCTAATTTGATAGGGAAAGTATTATTAGTGTTAATTTGATGATTTTTTGGTAGATTTTTTAGTGTTAATTTGGTAAAGTTAAAAAAAAAAAAAAAAATTAAATAATTTTCCAGCAAACAACAATTAGAAAGGAATGACATTAATGTTAATTTTACAGAACGAACATTTTTTAGTCAAATATTAGTTTTTTATTTATTCTTTAAAAGTACTTAAATATTTTCTTTTCACTTCAATTTTCTAATATTTTAAAGAAAGTAATTCTTTTTCAGTGCTCAGTGATTAAATTCCTAGTTCATATTAAATGATAAATGAAGCTAATTCAATTATTTAATTCAAATAAAGCAAAAAATAAAGTTATATTAGATGCTTAATCTTAATTTAGATAATTATGATTATTTGTGCAGAAATTATAATAAATATATTTTTATTTTATTTTAATCAATAATTTTTTTTTTTTTTAGCTCATATTTTTTCATATTTTCAATAAGCTAATAGAACTCAAATAGGGCATATAGAACACTTCGTTCATGTTTATTATTATTATTTTATTTTTCCCATCAAATAATTTCACTTTCAATCAATCCACTCAAATCATAAAAGCTGTACAAATAATAATTTTCAATTTTTTGCTAGATGCTAATTTTTGTGTTCCAAAAATATTTTTCTAGAATTATCCATTGTGACAATTCTATTAAAGTACCATTCTATCCCATTTCTCTTTCTCACTATTTTGTGCTCATTTTTAAGCTATCAATTTATTACTTTTGATTTTATTATTTCCAAATTATTTTACCACTTGTAAAAATTATAAATTAAATTATTTTCTCGTAAGGTTTACTTTCCTAAAAATATAATACTTATTATTGAAGGTAAAATTATTTTTTCCTGAAGAGTTAAGTATATTAATTCAAATTTTCATTTGTACTGCAGAAATGTATTACTGCTATCACTGTGATTATTTATTTTTCTGTTTATCTCAATAACTTAATTCAATCCTAAAAGATTTAATTCAAATTTGAGTATTAAATTTTTACTCATCTGATACCTACTTGATTATTTGTTATTTAATAAAATTCATTTATTTTTTATATGCACAAATTAAGCTTTAATAAGTGATATCAAGTATTTGTAGTTTAGTACTTCAGCAACTTTAGCTTTAATTTTACGTATATTTTAAAATTTTTATTTAAAATAGCATTTTATTTCAGGCTTTAATTGTTGATTAAACTTGAAAAATTTAAATCTTTCAAAATTAAAAAAGAAACAAAAAATGCGCAAAGTACAACCATGGATATTTGTTTTATTCATTGTGCTAATGAAAGCGCTAATGGATGAAACTGAAGCGCAATCGACGTTCACTGCTTCTACTAGTTTGGAAACTGAAGGAACATCTGGTAAGTGATAGAGTAGGAATAAATTTTCAATGATAACAAAAGTCTTTTTCTAAATTAAAAAATAAAATTAAATAAATTATCAATAATTTTATCACTTCTATCAGTTAAGAATTTCTTGTTGATAAGAAAATTTTAAATGAAACAAAAAAAAATTTTTTTTTTTTTTTTTATAAAAATAAACAGTAATAATTTTTAAGGAAAATTAGAGTGATTTTTAATCAAATTGACTTTAGCATTATAATTAAATCATTTTCTTTTTGTCACTGCTAGGCACTAATGAATATTAGCATTAAGCTTTTATAGTTTATTAGTTTATAGCTCAGTAGATGTTTACTTGTTTACTGTTTGTTTATCGAATTTACTCTTTTAACATTTATTACTTTCTGATGATTGGTCATTTGTTTATTTTTATTCTTTCATTCATCATTAATTCTCTTAATCTTAGACAGATATAATCTGGAAATTATCCATCTATTGTTTTTTCTCATTGTCAATAATCGAATAAAATTTAGCAATAGAAAAAGTTTTATGATGTTTTTTTTTTTTTTTTGTTTGTTTGTTTGTTTGTTTTTTTTATTTCAAAAATTAAATTTAATTTCTTGCAAATATTCTAACAAAAAAAAAAGCCTTATTTCATTTGATCCATACTTTTTTTTTTTACAAATTGTCTTCTTTTATTATTAATTTTAACAATTAACTTTTGCAATTTCATTTCGTTACTTTTACTTTTAATATTTACGAATTAATTTTTAGGTCCATTGGATTGTTCACTTAACAAATTGTCTACTTTAATTGGACACAACAATTTTTCAATCCTTGGAATGCTTCAGAATTGTGCAATATTTTACATTCTGGGTGAAAATATCAAATCTGAAAGTAACATTGATCTATTCGAAATTGAAGGTTCATTGGGTCGATGCCAATTGACACAACCATTATTTTATCGCCAAAATAATGGTCCGTTTTTGTTTTTTTTTTTTTTAAAATGAATTTTTTAATGTTAAGGTCATTTGCGCCAGATAATATGTCATATGACGCCCTTACTTTTGCCATTAATTTTACGCTTACTAAAGAATAAATTTGAGCTAAATTTGCATATTTATAAGTGAACTTATATCAATCATTAAACTTTTTTTCCTAATGTAAAATATATTTTGAGCTCAATGATAAGTATAACTCATAAATTTCATGCAAAAAAAGAAAAGATTATAAAATTGGATTTTTTAAAAAATGTTCTTTTTTAATATTTTAATGATTAAATGATAAGATTAATTTGAATAATAAAAATTATTTCGTTAATTTGTCTAATTAATTTCACACTTTTTAAAGTAGAAAAGAATTGAAATTTTTAGAATATCAATTATTGATAGCTCAAAAGATGAGTGTTTATACTGGTCAATGCATATGGCAAAACCGTTCCGATGTTTACCTCAGTTGTTTATTTGATCGAAAACAATGGCAAAAGCATTCCGTTAAACCATCAACTAGCGATGATACGGAAATAATTGGACATATTACGGACGTTGATACTAACATTCTTCATGTTTTTTACAATGATGGTAAATTTTATTTGTAATTAATTGTTAGTAAAAATTTTTTAAATGTCTTACATAAATTTATTAGTTCATTAATTATTATTGACCATATAGTTTTGTTTTTTGTTTTTTTTTTTAAATTTAATTTTAGACCAAATAGATCTTATGAATAAGATTTTCAAATCCTATTACTCAAATCTTAAATTTTATTTTTATTATCGATCATGTGGATCAAATTTATCTCAATCATGACAAATTGAATTTAATTTATAGAAATTAATAGAGCTGATAGAATTAGATTGGATAACATTTAGAATTTTATGAGAAATTCAAATCTGATATCAATATATTGTAGATTTTACAATTTTTGTTTTGTTAGAATGATTATATTAATGGTGATTAGATTTAATCTAAAGAAAAGCTTTAATTCAAAGAAAAAAAAAAAAGATTCTTTAAATATTTAAATAATTTACAAAATATTTTCCATCAAAAATGATTTTTTAAATATTTAAATAATTTACAAAATATTTTCCATCAAAAATGATTTTTTAAATATTTAAATAATTTACAAAATAATTTCCATCAATGACTTTCAATGATTAATCAAAGTAAGTAATACTTAATAAATGATCAATAAATAAAAATTAATAAGCGATCAATAATAAAAAAAAAAAAAAAATGAAACTAAACTATTACCACCATTCTATCATATATTTCCTTTTGTCATATATATTAATCATAAAGTTTTAAAGACAAAGTTGAAAAAATTATAATAATAAAAAGTTGAATGAATTTTAATTTTCATTTTAAACTTTTTAGTTTTTTTTTTTTTTTAGAAAATGGAATTATTCATGATGCAACGTATAATGCATCATCAGAGAGATTTATCAAACAAGCAGTTTTGCAGCAAAAAAATTTAAAAAAATTATCCTACGATTCAGATCGTCAAGTTAGTTTAGTAATTTCTTTCATTAGTTAAAAAAAATTTTCATTTTAAAAATGAACATAATTACAAAATTTTTCTCAAAAATAAAAAAAAAAAAAACTCATAATTTATTAAAATTTTGTTAACTTTTTTTTTAAATCAGTTTACTAGCAGAATTTTTTAAAGTTTTAAATAATAATTTTTCACTCTTTTTTTTTTTTTTTTTTTTCAATTAATGTAATATATTTCAGTTAATGTATATGCTAACAAATGAAATGGTTTATCAAAAAGTAAAAAGTAACTTTGGTATTTTTTCCTATGAACCAACTTATGCTAAAGTAAATAAATTTACCCGAGGCAGCTATTCAACTTTTTCATTCAGCAACTCTTATTATATTATTAAAAAGGTAACTAATTATATTTAATGTTTCATTCTGGAGATTTGTTTATTCATTTATTTATTTATGCTAATATATATTTAAAAAGTTTTCTCACATTAAAACCACAAAATCAAAAAAGTTATAATCTTGAAATTTAAATTTCTAAACTTTTATGTGAAACTAATTTACATCTCTGTCATATTTCTTTTTTCAAATTCATTTATTTAAATATGAAACAGTAATGGAAACAAATATTTTCAGACTTTAGGTGATGGTCGTATAGCGTATTATGCCGGAAAAGAAGGTATTCCTGAACAGGTATGCATTGCAGAAGTGCAACCGGATGAAACACTTTATATGTCTCTATTCGTAGGCCTAGATGATAGATCATCAGTTCATGAACGAATTCGAGCACAAATTGCGCCCAAAACTGAGCCAAATGAGCCTGATTTACAAACGAGCACAATATATATGGCTGCTGCTAGGCCATCATTTCATACTATTTCATCTACTCTCTTTCTACTATTCTTATGTACTACTATTTTTAGGTAAAAATATTCAAAGAGACAAAAAGGAAAGAATTGGCTATAATTTTATTAATTTCATTCATACAATCCTAAAATTAAATCCTATAGGCAAAATTAAATTTTAATAAAAATTGAATGAAAAATAGAAAATATTTCTTAAATTTTTTCCAAATTTCATTCTAAATTTTGTTAATTTGTGAGAGCAAAAAAAACAAAAAAAAAACAAACTTAGTTACAGTTTTAGTTTAATAATTTACAAATTTATTATAATTTCTGTAAGAATTTCAAAATTTTTTTGATTTGATTTCTTTTTTTTTTTTTTTTTTTAAAAAATGGAACTAAAATGATAGTTGCGTTATTGTAATTCTTTTCGAAGTGTATACTTCTATTTCTATTTCAGGTTTTTTTTTTATTAATTTATAATTTTTCAAAAGCATCAATATTCTTGAATTAACAAACCTTATGAATAAATGTGATGCAATTTTTTTAAGATATTTTTTAAAATAATTTTTTTTTTTTTTTTTTTAATAAATTGTAAACAAATTAATTCAATTATTTTTCTTCTTCGTTTTTTTTTTTTTTTGTTGTTGTATAATTGAAAGGATTGTTTTTTCAAAATGGTTGATGAAAATTCTTTAAATATTCAATTATATTTCTTCATTACATAAATTCTTTTTTGCGGGACTTTCTAATGGTTTGTAGAATTTTAGAAATTAAAATTTAAAGCTCATTTAAATTAATAACATTAAAAGATTTTATTTTGCCGAATTTTTATTTTCTTTTTTTCTAACTCATACAAAATTAATTTTGATATGGAACTTCAATTACAAATAAATTGTAAACAGCAATTGATGTAAACATTATAAAATAATGTATAAAATAATGTATTATAAAATAATGAATTGCATACTGATTATCGTAAATATTTAATTTATCAGTTAGTGATAAGGGAAACAAAACAAAAAGCCAAGCAATTTTATCAAGAAATTTTATTGAAATATTACAAGCAATCATGGCAATTTCAAAATTTCTTTTTAGTTTGAAATTTTTAATTTGTATATTACAACGTATTAATTCATTTCAAAAAAATACAATTAAAAAAAATAAACATTCTAAAAGGAATTAATGTAATATTTAAAAAATCCTTTAAAAAAATTTCAATATTTTTTACTATCATCTTTTTTCCATTTCTTATCAATGATAATCACTTTTAATCTTTTCAACTGTTGCAAAATGAATGAATATTTTAGTTATTATCTCTTTGTTATAACTATAATTTAACAAAGAGCATCTTTAATTTGCATATTTTGATGATACATTTTATAAAAATAAAATTTTATCAAATTTCATATCTTATCAAATTTATCACTTATTGTATTTGTTGTATTTTTTCATATCATATTTTTCATGTAAAATTATATTAAAGTTTTGATTATTTTTTTTTTAATCATTAAAAGATTTATTGCTTTAGAAAAAAAATGAAAGACATATGCGCGCATATTTTAGAAATAAAAATGTTTGAAATTTTATCAATCTTATCAAATTCAACAGTAAAATGTTAAAGAAAATTAAAAGAAAAAAAAAAAAAATTTTACAACAAATTTTCTAATGCCAAAAGCTTAAAATAGCATATTATTATTAATTAATTAATTAATTAATTAAATGATTTACATTTAGAGCTATTAATTAATTAATGAAAATCAAAAAGTTTCGCTTCAAAAAATTTGAAAATGAAAGGAAAAATTTTAATAATATATTATTGCTATTATCGTAATTTCACAAAGTTATAATAATTATTCAATTGGTTTTATATAATATCGTATTCATTAGAAATAAATAAACACACAGTAAATATTAAATTATACTAAGAAATTGCTGAAAGCTCATTAAAGTATAAAACTATTAATTATCGAATTGCTAAGTATGCTATGTGGAAATTATTTAAAAAAATATTTTCAAATGAAATAAATCTTTTCAAATTGTTAAATTAAATTTACTGAAACTATAAAATCTCTTTGTTAATTCATTCATTTTAATTTATCCTTTTCTGGAGATAAACTCTAGTTTTTATGATCATATTTTACTGACTAAACGTTTTACTACAATTTTACAACTTTTCAGTTGTCGTTGCACTTTGACCTCTTCTTGAATTTCAACAAATTATTTGTTTCATGGACTTGTTAATCTTACTTGAACTCATTCAATCTTTTAAATTTATTTAATCGCTATTTGATCTTTTTAAAATCACTTTGTAGAATTAATTATATTTTTTGATTTTGTCAATAAGAATTAATGAAAAATTGAAAATAGTGGTTCAAAAAGAGGATATAATTAGTGCTAATTATAAAATAATCAAAAAAATTATTGTTGAAAGAATTAGTATATTTTTGTGATATACAAATATGCTAATTTAATAAAGATAACAGATTGTTTTTACAAAATTTTTAATGTAAATATTTTTATATTCTAAGATACTACAGCAATCTTATCAGCAGCTGATTAGAAGATAATAAATTATTGTTCAAAATTTTGAAGTAATAAATTTTCTATGCCTTAGAATATAGCAAATATCAGTTGTGTGATATTTTGATAATCTTCTAATCAGCTGATAAGATTGCTGTAGTATGTTAGAATATGATAATTATCTTTTAATCTAATTTATTTTATCATATTTTTGAAATCTTTTTAATCACAACTGTAAAAACAATTCAGTTAAACTAAAGAACGAATAGTTTCCACAATGATAATAGTCATAAAAAAAAAAAATTTTTTTTCGACTTATTTCAAAATTATTACAATTAAATTTTTTTTATAAACTATAAAAAAAAAAATGCAAACTTATTAATTATCAAACAATAAATTTTCTTTAATTATCTGTCTCTGTATGCAAAAAAAAAAAAAAAAAAAAAAAAATTAAAAGATTTTATTGTCACCAAGAAAATCTCAAATAAATGAAAACATCAAAGAGCATATTTTGATATTATCAATTGAAAATATATTTGCTAATCTAATCAAAATAATTTAATTAATTGGCAATTGAAAAACTTAAATAATTTTTTAGTAAAATAAAAGGACATTTAAAATTTGGTTTTTGAACTGGATTAGTACCTAGGTAATCAAAATTAATTAATTCGGGAGTAAAGTTTTATTTAAACGCCACGAACATAAAATATACATTATTAGTATGAAGCTAAAAAGAAAGAATTATTGAAGAAATTTATATTCTCGAAACAATCAATGAAAAAAGAAGAAAATAATGAGAGGAAATACACTGAGATTTAAAATTTTTTAAATGAAGGAAAAGAAATCAAAAATAATTTTAAAACTTTTTAAGAATTACTATGACGTTTAAGCTAAGTTTACACAATTAAATAATTAAGTGAGAAACACTCCAAATAGCTTATCAGCTAGTAACAGTTACCTTAATTACAACTATCAATGTTTATTATTAACCTAAAATTGTGGAAATAATTTTAAAATAGTTTTTGATTATACAAAACATTTTCAAATTGTAATAAATATTCAAAAATTAAATTTCATGATATTCTATCTAAAACAAAGATATCTTACTTGTTGTCCGATGATATGAAATTGCTTCTCAAAATTGTGATGGAAAGTTTTATTCGAGAAATTCCGAGAATCAACTTTATTAAGAAGTCGCTATGATCTGCAGTTAATCAAAAGAAAAAAAAAATAATAATATCGAACTTATCATAAAAATTAAATTATAAAATTAAATAAAATGTACCAAATAATAAACAAAGAAAAAAGAAAACAGAAATTTTAGGTGAACAAACTTCAATAATTCGTGGACGAATTCATTCTAATAAATAGAAAAATAACAAAAATTGAATGTTTAAGTAACAATAAGAAAAGAAATGAATGAAATCTAACTTAAATTAAATCAAATTACACAAATGAATGAAAACTTAAAATTAAATCAAATAAAGATGAAACTTTTATTTGAGAAAAAATCAAGTTGCATTAAAAAAAAAAAAAAAAAAAAAAACAATCCAAAGTTGATCATAAATTTTAAACAAATTAGTAACGATCATTCGCTTTTTATAATAATAGTTATTTAAGTTAAACCTTATTTATCAATCATTTACCTAATAATAAGTAATAATGACCATTAGGTTAACAAAAAAAGTTAAGTTTATCTCATTTTAAAATAATTTATTTCATTTTTTATCTCATTTTAAAATAATTTTTGTGAAAAAAAATTTGCTCTGATTGTGTTAAAGCAAAATTAAATTTTAAATAAAACATAGAATAAATGAATAAAAGAAAAAAAAATTACATTTATTTTGCAAATCAATGAAAGAATAAATTGTAGAACAAACAGTAAAGCAATTTAAAAAAGTCAAATAATCAAAACAAACACAAAAAATGCCAAAAAATTCGACGAAGTTTTGGCATTGTTTCATTTTAATTGCAATTATTTTTTATAGCTATCATTTTAACAAATCAAATAAATTTGCAAAAAATCCTAAAATAATGACTGAAATAAGGGAGAGAGAGAGAGAGAGAGAGAGAGAGAGAGAGAGAGAATATCAATATAATTTTAATTATATGAAGAAAGATGAGGGATTAAAGGAATTAGATTAAAATGTGCTATTAAATTGATTAAATTTTGTTAGTAATATTAAAATAAAAAATTTTGGTATAAATTTGAAAATTAGAAACTATTCCAAAATTTTTGTCACTTAATTCGTAACTAATTATTTCCGAATTTGTAGTGTTTTTCTTCTTTTTTTTTTTTTTTCTTTCTTTTTTCTTTTTAATGAATTTATAATTCTTTGCAAGTATTTATTCATTTCTTACAAAAGTAAATTATGCAAATTTTACTTTATGGTAGCTTTGCTGAAGTTATTATGTGCTTCTATTGTATTTCCTACATTTAAGTGATAAATTACTAATTCGTAATTAATAATTAATAATCAAATAATATCTTTTTTAGGGTCAATTATTTCTTAAATTATAAATTTTTTTTTTTTTATTTTTGTTATTAATGTATTTATAAAA